CTAACGCCTCGCCAGCCGCTCTCAGCTAGCTCCGGATTGTTATTGAGGTTAAAGTGGGAGAGGCAGCAGATCTCTGGGGCAGCTGAGTGAAGTGGAGCCTGAGGAGGAAGCACCGGTTAGCCCCGGTTTCGTTCCACTCTCTGCCATTTCATTTCGAAAATACGCGCTACCATTGCTCACTGGCTGTAGCCTTTTATAGGGAGGGAGAATAACGCGCAGCCGGACCGGCTTGTAAACAGTGTGCTGGAGATCAACACAGAGAGAGGGTGTGTGAGGTCATGCTATACTCCAGATGAAATTACACCTCTAGTTCTTCACATAGCAATTTTTTAATTCCTTCAATCTAGAAATGATGAATTTAGCTTATTGCTCCTTTAAGGTAGCTGCCCCTCTGGGTGAAGCAAGGACAAAAAAACACTCACCCCCATGACACAGAGCCATGTTACATCATTGGTAGAGGGGTTTTTAGGTGGTTTTAAACCCAACAGGCAACATGCATTGGTGGGAAGTTAGTGGGAGATTATGTCCTTATCTCAGAAGTGGTTGGTCTGCCCGCACTGCCTTCTTCAATCTACACCCTCCCAGGCCAAGCTTGTGAATGATTCTGTCTTTATGTCATGGGGGTCAGCAGGTAGACACAAGAAATTCTCATGTTTAAGACTCAAGATAGTTGTGTGTTTGCAGAGGTAGCCATGTGAAGGTTAAAAATACAGTGCATTGACAATAAGAGACTATATCCATTAAAGACCCCCTCTAGGCCTGGGATGATCAGCGATCAAATTGTATATTGGTGATTGGAGGGTTGCCAGGCGATTTGCTGGATATCAAGACGATTTTGGAAAAAAAACAAAAAAAAACAACCGTGCATTAAGAGATGTTTTTTGGGGAAATACATGACTGTCAGAGAAGCCCCGTTTACAAACAGGCCTACAATCCATCTCCTCTCCTCTCCTCTCCTCTCTCTCTTCTCAGTGGAGGGTGCCCTGTCAGCCTTGCGCTCACAGTGATAGGTCGCATCTCTTTGATCCAAAGTGACACAGCCCATTTGCTCATGCTTCCCGGTCGTTCAATAGAGTAATTGCAAATAAATATTGTTTTAATGTGTAACTATTGAAATGTTCACAAGGGCTTTCATAAAATCCTACAATGTTGCGGCACTGCCGCCTTTGCAGGTTAAAAGTTAATGACAGCGACTTGAAGTGAGGAGGAGCAACACGTCTCCGGCTGCGCAGCAGTACCTCCTCACAAGCTGGAGACGCTCACTTTTGCATGTGATGCAAAATATTAAAATAACGTCATTGTAACACAAAAAATCTAAAAATGCGGTGGTAGGCCTAGGCTATAGCCTATACCAACCCCCCCCTTGGCGATTTAATGGTGTATTGGCAATCTAGAGCAATGACAATCCACAATATGAAATTTAGAGGCAATCGCACAGCCCTAACCCCCTCTGGTCAAAAGTGTTTAATGCTTGTAGGTGATGTTGACCTGTGACTGTGCAGACTGGATGTGTATAGAATATTTTACATTTCTCTGCTGAAGGAGGAAAGTTTCTATGTGCTCACCTTAACTCAGAGTATAAGTTGACGTGCCAGCAGGATTTTATGACTTCACAACTAGTTTGGCGACGATCGTGAACCTGTATGCAACTTACACAAGTGAGATATGGATGTATACACTGAGAACGGGCATGTGTAGTGGTTAGAGCACTCGTCTTCCATGCAGAAGGTCCAGGGTTTGAATCCTGCTGGGGTCGACGTCAGTAAAGGCATGCGGTCGCAAGAGGTTCCCATCGCCGAATCAAACAGGATCAGATTCCTTAAGGAGGCTTCAGGACAAGACAGTAACTCTGGAATCTGAGCCAAGTCCTCAACGAGGGTGTGTCCCAAGCCTGTTGTAGATGGGAGGTGCCAGACGTAATTGCGGATTCATCACACTGAGAATGGACTTTTCAGTGACACATCCTGTAACAAAAGGGGCAGAAGGAATAGATGTAATCTTATGCCTGGTACACACTACACAATATCAGCCCGATTCTAGCCCGACGCGGCGACGTACGGTGTCGGCATGGATTGTGAACGACAATGATTGTTGTACACGATAATCCATCGTTTCATCTCGTTTAGTGTGTCATAGTTAACGACAACAGACGCCATGTCTGGGACGCCTCAGTCTAGCATGTTTTATTTTCTTTTTGTCGTTCATGACTGCTCCTGTCACAGCCGTCACTTTGACCAATAGGAACACAGAGCGATTTGCTGCCATGGACACAATATGTATGACAACAACACCCCAGCCTTTTTGATGTTTCCTCTAGGGATGTTACCACACAGAATAAAACGGGAAAAATTATGGTGTGAAACAGCAGAAGCACTTTATCAACCTGGTGAGTACTGCTATTAGTATCAAGCTAGCAAACAATGTTATCTTATTATATAATGACGAAAACTCTGAGTGTGTCTGTTCCACGTTTTTCGCCTCACTGACAACTCTAATTGGCAACTGGGTGGCGCTATAACAACAGAAAAATACATAAAAATGGCTAAAATGCGACTGATTGCTGTGGCTCCCCCTGTGGCCGAATGTTGAGCGTCTTTTTTTTTTTTTAATTTTTGGTATGACTAAGTCATGGTATGTTATGCTGCTGCAACAAGTGCTAGCTGCACCTTTCCCATGTGAACTACCAGTGCGCCCCACTTTTAAGTCAATACAACATATAAACACTTTAACTATCTGCCTTTCAACGTGCTACCTCAACTACTAATGTACAGTTTTAGCCCACTAACTATCCCACTATTGGCAATGGTACTACTGTACTTTCAATAAAGCAATCNNCAAATTCACAAAAACTCTGTCTGAATACATTGCTCTTCTTAACGGGTTCAGCTGACTATTTAATCTGCAATTTCCTATGACCTGTATCCCAAACACACACTATGTGAATCTGTACGTGGGCAACTGTGCACTCAGTGAGTATGGACTAGTTTCTTCATAATGGAGATGGACATAAAGTAAGAAAATTAAAAAATAGGGGTGGGGCTTTTACTAACCACAACTGCAGAGGCTACCAGCTTCATTTGAAACAGGCTACATTATAAACGGGCCGTTATTTATTATTCCCTCTGTATTTTTATATTTTTACTTTTTATCCGCTCCCGTTTGCCTTGATAAAGTTAATGCATCACACCATCATTTCAAACTCAACACTTCCTGTATCTGTTTCAAATTAAAAGCCCATTATAACTTCGGTTGAGAGAATCCCTTCATTTTCCAAATAGGCTTTTATTATGAAACATTTGTGGGAACTTGTGGAGGATTCAGTGACTTGTGTGTTTGCGTATGGTACTTCAAATGTAGCTCCTGGATCTCGTGGCGCTTTTTCACATTACTACAACATAGTGTTGTCACGATACCAAAATCTTTGTTTTGGTACCCATACCAGTATGAATTTCGATACTTTTCGATACATTTTACGGTACTTTTCCTAAGGAATAGTCCTTTTGGATACAAACCTTTAGAACAATAAATAGTAGGGGTGTAACGGTAACAAAAAAATCATGGTTCGGTAAGTACCTCGGTACGAACATCACAGTTTGGTAACTCAAATGTTCCACCACGTTTGTGTTGTCTCGTGTTGTCTCCCTTTTGTGATTCAGACTTTCTCTTGTCTTTTTTCACGTGCGCCAGCTACAAATGTTGATACAGGTGTTGTCATACACACCACTTGCGCAATCTGTGCTCCAATAGGAGCAAGAAAGGCATTTGTGTGCATAAATGAGTAAAATAAATTAACTAAATTAATGAATTGAATCAATTTCAAAGTACCGGTATTTTCCAAATGCAGTATAGTACCATTTGGAATACTCTAGTACCGCGGTACTATTTTAGTACCGGTATACCGTGCAACACTACTACTACTAACATGTCGGCTGGCATATGAACATGAACTGATGACCTCTGACTAAGTGACTTATTTTATGGGTATTTCATATTATATTCAATGCACAGAAAGATGGCGGCAAAGTCACAACAAAGTTGCAGCGCCTCTTGGCTTTGGATGTAGCATTCCTAATCGCATTGTATATTCTTTGTGCAATGACAATAAAGGCTTTCTATTTCTACTCTATTTCTATTTCTAACAATAACAGTACATGACATACACATAACATAAGAGTGATCTGGATGAATTTTGAGCAGATTATTTCCTGTGCATATTTCATCAGAAATAGGTTTTCCTGGTATTTTTAGGAACTATTTACATAATTCTGGTTGGACCATGTATTTTTTTTAACAGGCATACATACTTAATAGGCTTTTTTTTCTGACAAAGTCAGTGTTTTCTTCTCCCTGACGTTTGGCCATTATTCTGTTAGCCTTTTGGCTGTTGTAACTGTGTACTTTTCTTACGCAGGACGAGGCTGTTTAGCAGAAAGTGAGGGCTCTGTAAATGTAGTATGTTATCAGGTCGTCACTGTGCCCTTATCCTGTGAGATTTTTATTAATAAGTTTATATCTTTAATGATAATCTTAATGATAAAGACAAGTTTTCTGACACCCTTTAAAATGAAGAGGGCCTTGCCACCGTCTGTGAAGCTTATGCGCTCCCCTTGTGGGGGTCGGGACCCCCAGGTTGGGAACCAGTGTCATAAGGCGTGTATCAAGGGGACTTTGGCTGACTTGAGGCATCCATGTTTATTTGCACATATTAGTTGTATTGTAAATAAGACTTGGATTCTGATGTTGTTGGAAACTGGTAGTTATGGTAAGTTAAAAATGGCATGAAGTTAGTATTTCCAACAACAGTTCTGTGAGCTGTAGTTAGAATTAGAATCTTGTATTTGGCATTGTTGATAGACATTGTGGAGTGTGGATGCTCTAAACAGGTAAATGGACTATTAAATTCTAAGTCCAACAATGTGACTTGTCCCGTGAAAGACAGCAGACTTGTTGTAAATAAGGGCCTGTGTAAAAGTCAAACCTAATAACCATGTGTTCCTCAGCCTCGTGTATGGGAGCTCCAGGTCGTCCCACCCAGACTCAGAGCTGCTCCACAGGCAAACCTATGGCACCCCTCACCCCCTCCAGGGCTATGCAACCAACCACCACCCAGGAAGCTCCAGACAGGGTGGAGCATGGGGGGCTGCTGGACGCTCACTTGGTAAGGATTCACTGGATTGTTTATCTGTAGAAATTCTAATCTAGAAATACTGGATTTTTCCTTTTTACTGCACAGTCTTTATTAATATTGAACGTGTCGCATGTCCAAATTGCACCAATTTCAAAAAGGCACAACCTTGGCAATAAACCCGCCAAGTGTGAAGTGTGAAGTAGATTGGGTGAACAGTTCCCGAAATATTCAAAGGACACACTGAAGGACAGACAGAGATTTCTTGTCTTATAGTTAGATTAGATATTCATGAATTGATATGCTTGATAAGTTACAAAAAAGGTTTTAACTCAGTTAACCTGGTTTCTCTCTTGCTGTTTTTATTCTGAGACAAGCCATTGTCAAAATGGGCAGAATGTCTTGGAGATCTCTCATAGCTTTTCTCATTGATAACTTTAACTACCATTACATTCTCAGTATGGTAACATTGATAAACAATATGCAAGCTTGTACTTATTTAATTGATAGGTAATGTAATGTAATGTAATGTACCAAAACAACCATGGTGCAGTGCTACATCTTGTGTGTAGAGTGTGAGTGTTTGAGGTGCACCTCCTGTTTTGCTCATATATACTGAGTGCTGTGGTGCCATGTGCCAAACATTTGGTTACAGTGGAATATAAATTAAGGGTAGGGTGATTAATCACTTATCTCTCAACTACTTGGATAACTTATCTCATACCTATTACACAGCTGTGCAAATCACAGTGTTGCATGATTCACCAAATCAGAAGAGACATAAGTCGTCTGTCCAAATTGGAAAATCACACTGTCTGGATGGTGCAGAGAGGCAGGATGTAATGCATGGTTTCTCTGTATAAAACCTTTAGGCCCGTTTCCACTGAAGAAGTTCCTGGTACTATTTGGGGGGCAGGAACTAATACAGGAACGTCCTCTCGTTTGGCCCTCTCAACCGCCGTGTCTTCACTGAGAGAGCGGAGTACGAGGAGGGTTCCTGTAAAGTTACGGGCTCTGGATGTGACATAATCGTTGCGTGACCATTTACCGGGGCGACGTAGGGACGCCGTTAGCTGATAGCCCTTAGTGGTGTCTGTAATAACTCACTAAATGGCCCGTGAAAAAAAATATTTTTTCCAGCGGATGTCTTAGTTACAACATGATTGAGCTAACTGGAGTAGTTTCATGTTGTATCCGACAACGGGAGGCTTTTAACAGATGACGTCCTGATATTAGCCTGCTGTTAGCTGTCCCTGTCAGCTGCAGCCACTGATGCTTTCTAGACATCGTGATTTCCCATAACTGAATAAATACCACACATAGCAACACAAAACTGCTTTGCTAGCTCAATCATGTTGTAACTAAGATATCTGCTGGAAAGAATATTTTTTTCACGGGTCATTTAGTGAGTTTTTTTTACATGGCGGAGGAAGCTATATGAACGAGCTAATCCTCGTCTGCTGAGTTTTAAAAATGCCGGCTATTTTGTTGCTTTCTGTTGTCGTCACATCCCTTCTTGAGTTTATCCAATCAGCACCAAGTAATCCCCAAGCTCCAGCCGGGAGTCTTTCGGGGCCGTTCTGAGTACCTACCCCGAGGCAGGGACTTGTTTAGCCCCTGTAAAAGTTCCGGAACTCTGTCCTTCGGGGGTGGTTCCTGCGGTGGAGACACGCACCAACGGCCCCGGCCCCGTAAAATTACCCCGAAGTTCCTGCGGTGGAAACGGGCCTTTTGTGCTCTGTGCTCAGCACAGTGCTCTACATGGTAATTGTGACTCTGTTGTATGCCTCTTGTCTCAATAAAAGTAGTGCAATAAAAACAGAAAGAAAAGTTTGAGAGAAAAAAGTTTTATTAATCGGTTTATGATATGATGGCATGATCTATGGTGTTATTTATATGAATTAAGTGAGATTTGTGGTTTGTTACCAGGCTTGTCAGGGCTGTTTGATGCCAGTCTCCACCATGCCAGCCCCTCTGGTCCTGACCCCTCCGTCATGAATCTGATTTCAGCTCTAGAATCGCGGGGTCCACAGCCACCACCATCTGCTTCTTCCCTCCTCTCTCAGTTTCGCACTCCCTCTTGGCAGACTGGTGAGTGTCAGGCTGTTAGGGTAATGCCATGGCATGATCACTGTGTAAAAAGGGCTTTAAGCTGAAATTTTGCTAATTTGTTAAATTTGAATAGAGACTTGCATTTACCAACGCTGTCCATGTAATATTGTGTCCTGTAGCAATGCACACACCGGCCCCAGCGGAGCTCTTTATTTCAGGGGCACTTCCTGGTTCCAGCTCCTTCCCCTCCTCCTCAGCCCTTTCTGCATACCAGCATCCTGGCTCCTTCTCTGGACGATCTTTCACTCCCTCACTATCCCTGCAGGACACGCCTACATTTAGCCCGACCTCCAACGGTTTGTTATCCCCTCATGATCCCCTGCTGCACATCAAAACACCTTCCCAGTCCAGCCTGGGCTTTGATCGCTTGCTGTCTTCCCAGAGTGCCACCTACAGGGGCTCCCAGGAGCCAACAGCCCCTCCTCAGACCCAAGCCCCTCCCACCTCCTCCAGTTGCCACCTGCCCCCTCCCCAGTTCAACCTTTTGTCCTCCCAGCTCCACAACCAGTCCTCCCAGCTGTATAACGCCTCTATGTTCTCTTCCACACCAGCTCTGCTGCCCACGGCCCCCCCTCCGCCCCAGCCTCCTCCAGAGAGGGCAGTTTCCCGGCAGGACAGTGTGATTAAGCATTATCAACGCTCATCCCCAGCGCAGTCCACAACACTGCCTCCGCAGCAATATGCCAGCTGTGGTGGGTCATCGAGCTACCAGCAGATACCCAGCCACCACCGGCATTCTGGACTGTCCTGCAGTCCCCTGGGGGAGCAGAGCCCATCCTCTGAGCCCAAGCCCTCACCTCGGTTGGAATCCAAGACATATCGACCTATCATCCAAACCCCCTACACATCCTCGTCCTCCAGCTCTTCAGCCCCCTCCTTATCTGGCACTAAGGGAGCCAAGAGTTCCAGCTCCAGTAGTGGCTACTCCTCTTCAGGCTCAGCGTCATCCTCTTCCCGCACCCCACACACTCCACCATCAGCCTCCTCCACCTCTTCCGCGTCCTCTTCTAGTTCCAAGACAAGCACTGGCTCCTTGCCTGCTCCCTCTCGTCAGCAGCCCCCACCTCAGTCAACACCGGCACCACCTGCTTTGCCAGTGGTGTCATCCAACCTTGTTCAACAGCCAGCACCCAAACAATGCCTCTCCACCTATGGCTCTTCACCTGTGGCCAAATCCAGCACAGGCCTACCAGACCAGACGCCTCCCCAGCAACATGTCCAGTCCTACTCTCCCAATCAGCCTCCATCTACACACATGGCTCAGTCTTATGGAGGCTTTAATTCACCTCATGCCCAGGACCTGAGCTCTGGAGCAGGGGGTACTGGAGGGAAGGCCTTCACTGGTATAGGCTCAGGAGGACGGTCGTTTTCTGCAGAAATAGGGTTTGGGGACTCAAGCTATGGCCAAACCCCCCTTAGAAGAGCAGGCAGTCCTTCCTTAGGATATGGGAATGCTGGAGGATCAACAGTAACTGGACCCGTATCAGGAGCTGCTGCGCTTGGCAGTGGAGTTGGATCTGCAGGATCAGGGAGTGGGCCTTCTAGTGTTGGTAATGGAGGCAGCAGCTCATACCACCTGCCTGAGTCTAGTCCCTCGCCCTCCATCAGTTCTAATATCAGTCGCCCTGGATTGCACTCTCCTGCGTCTGCTCGCCCTGCACAGTCCCCCGGAGGCTCAGGGGCCACCAAATACTTGTCCTCCATCCTGTCGCCTTCTTTTATGTCCTCACCCCAAGGTTTCCCCGATACACAGCAAGTGCAGAACCAGTCCTACCACTCAACACCGCCCAAGTCAAAAACAGAAACCAATATGCTGGGAGTTGAGCGATCCCAAGATGAGGAAGAGGATGATGACGTTTTCCTTATCCACCACTTACTACACGCCCAGAGTTCAACTCCTCATCCTTCCCAGCATCACCCACCTCCTCAGCAGCTACCCCAGCCGCTTCCACAAGCTAGGGATGGGGAAGGCAAAGGAGTGACCTATGACATGAACAAGATCTCAGAAGAGCGCTACCACCTTCAGAGTGTCATTCGTACCAATAACATCACCAGCAGTTCAGGTCCTGGAACGGCAATGGGTGACACAAGTGGCTTAAACAGTCAGTTGGAAATATCACAGAAGAAACAGCAACAGGCCAAATCGGAGTTGAGCATATCAAAGTCCACAGCTGGAGGGGTAGGAGGGGTCACTGACTCTCTTTCCCACTCTCATACTACCCACTCACATCAACAACAGCATGACTCCATGGGCTCTGTGGTCCATTATGGAAGGGGGGACCCCTACATACAGCACCCACACTCCCAACATTCCCATCACACCTCACATGTACCCTCACACTCTCAACAACACTCTCAGCATCCCCAAATCTCTCAGCACTCTCAACACACACCGCACTCTCAACATACTCAGCACAGCCATCCCCATTCCCACTCTCACAGCCACCCTCACATGGAGCTGAAGAAGCCTTCAGATGCAAATGACAATGCCTACTTGTGTAACACACCAGATGTGCAGCAGGCTCGGCAAAGCCAGGTTCCCCTCTCTCTAATAGATTCATCGCCAGACCCTCCCCAGCAATCTCACATGCTGCAGTCTGTCCTTTCTCACACCACCCACACTAAGATGGATCCTCAGCAAGCCCCTCCACAGCAGCAACAGCAGCAGCATCCTTTGAGCCAGCAGGCCATGATGGTTTCAGCCGGAGGAGCAGGGCCTGCCGGGGTGGAGTCCCATCCACAGAACCAGTCTGCACAGTTGCAACTCCAGCTTCAGACCCAAGGTATGGACAACCACTACAGCCTTGGAGCTCAGCAGAGAGATCAAAGCAGAACCAGTCAGAACTCAGTGTCTCCACTAGACATGCTGGACCAATCTCTTTCCCGAACAAACAGCAGAGGCAGTGGAGGAGCTCTGGACAGAACAGGGGTTGGTGTGACTGTTACAGGAGGGGAGGGAGGTGGTGGAGACAGACATAGACAGCAGCACAGACTTACACCCCACCACCATCCCCAACAGACAGCCTCAGATCTCCATGACTTCCTCTCTGAACCAGATTTAGGCTTGTCCGCCCCCTCACACCTACATCACCTCAACCAGCCTCAGGCCCATGCCCACCCCCATGCTCACCATCAGCAGCAAGCACACACTCACCATCAGCTGGCACACTCTCAGTTAGCTCACACACACTCCCACCGGATGGCAGCAAATATGGTAACTCCCCAACAACAGCAGCAGCCCCAACAAAGAGACCCTGAAACTCTGTCCCACTCCCAGTTAGACCAGCTCAAGCAGCACCAGTTTGACACAGTGAGCCCAGTGGGTAAAGTAGGACAGAATCAAGTTCAGCAGCAACAGCAGCGCTTTTCATCTCTGACTTCCATCTGCTTTCCTGACTCTCTGTTACATGATGAAGACCGCTCTTTCTTTCCTGAGATGGAGGACATGTTTTGCTCAGCAGATTACAAGTCGAGCTGTGCTGAGGATTCTGGGGCAGGACAGGCTGCTCAAGAAAGCCTTACCCAGGGCCATGGGCAGGGGCAAGACGGTATGGAGGCCTTAAAAACAGGAGAGGGCTATGACATGGTTGGTCATCACAGTGATCAAGGCTATGGACAGTATTGCCACAGCCTTCCAGGAACAGGAAATGGCAATCTACACTTAGACCTTGACTCTATGAAGACGCACGAGCTTCCCTCCACTGTGAATACTGACCAACTTGGCCTCATCCAATCCCAAACACCCACTATGGGGCTGAGTTCAGCAGTTCAAGGGGATGGCTCAGTCAGCAAGATGATGGGAGTGGTAGGAGTGGGTGAAAGTCCAAATACTCCTGGTCTGACCTCACCTATATTCTGTTCCTCTCGACCCAAGAAACTACTGAAGACAAGCTCATTTCACTTGCTCAAACAGCGGCGTGAGCCGCAACCTCAAACAAAGAAAAACTATGCGCAGGAGTATGAATTTGAGGACGACGAGGATAAAGCTGATGTTCCAGCTGATATTCGTTTAAACAGTCGACGCCTTCCTGACCTGCTCCCTGACTTGGTGTCTAGCTGTAGGAAGGCTGGGGGGGCATCAGGAGTAAGTGGGCTCAGTCCACTGATGGTTGACATCGACTTCTGCCATAATTCTGGCTACTCTTCCCTTGGACACCCTCCACAACTCCTTCCCCATGATGGCCCTAAAAAAAGAGGCCGGAAGCCAACTAAACCAAAACGTGAAGGCCCTCCTCGCCCACGAGGTAGACCACGCATACGCCCTCTTCCAGAGCCTCACTACTGCAAGGGTCTGATGGGATCAGTGGCAGGAGAAAGCAGGAGGGGCCGTGGACGGGGTCGAGGGCGTGGCCGGCGGGAGGAGGTTCTCGTTGAAATGCATCAAGATATGAACAAAGCACAAAGCCTCCCATATCATCATCAGCAGCAGCAGCATCGACAGCAACAGTTCAGCCATCAGCAGCATCTTCAACAGCATTCACATGAACATCACAGACAGCAGATTGACCACCACCAAACAACACAGCAGCAGCAACAACAGCATCACCTGCATCATCCACAGCAGCATGTTTCCTGTCCTCACCACCAACCACATAATCAACAGCAGCAACAGCTACAGCATCATCATCATCAACAACAGCAACCACCCCAACAGCCGCAGCAAGATCCAATCAGTCCTCTCAAGGTAAGAGTGGAAAGACCAGATTATCTGGACCTGAACTTCTTAAGAATCATAGAGTCATGTCAAAAATTTTGAATGGGCTAAAATGCTGCTTGCTTTGAATAGACCAGTTATCAAATTCCTGTCTGAGTAGAAGAATAAAAGCTCTGATGATAAATTAACTCAGCTCATGACACTAAGAAATGTAAAAAGAAAGAATCACATATGTTGTGTGTGTATGCAATTTATCTGGTAAACTTGACTTTTATTTCTATGGATGTAATTTTTTAAGGGTGAGTTTATAATATGAAGTTGTATATACATATTGTCACTTTAATAGGTAATAGTTGAAAGCTCAACCTAAATAGATTTAATACCCTTCCCCTAGGTAAAACTAAATCAAGTGGAGAAAAAGAATGACATGGGACTGTGCCAAAACTGGTTTGAGTATTTAAAGAAAAAAGCGTCTTAAGATTCAAGGAGATTTCGAGGGGTCTAGCAGTGAGGACTGCAAATTACAACCAGATGAAACTTCTTCCGGTTTGAAGTTCCTCAGTGTTCATTGTTCAGAAGGTTTTTACCATAGCAAAATTATCCAAAGAGGTCGCTTCCTCTCCAAAAAAACAAGCAGAACAGGTGATTAAAACCACTAAAAACACTGAATAAAGCACTTTCACGTTATAAATCAGTGTTCCTTCTAAGCTGTTTAGCCTGTTGCAGATGGACTGCTCACCCAGCACTATGTAGGCTAATCTTTTTTCTGGTCCAGATGTTCAGGAGGTTTTTACCTTAAGCCAGATGAACCACAGAGATCTCTTCCTCTTCAAGAAACTCTTCCTCTTCTACTTACACGAGTCCCAATCTGATACTTCTATTTTCTTGGAGAACACAGCTACACAGTGCACACTTCAAGTACATTGAAGTTATTAAAATCAATCCAAAATATATGCTTGACAACTGAAAAGTTCTGCAATGCATTAAGAAAAAAATCCCTGCATCCAAGCTGGTCATTATAGTTTATTATTTATTTATGTTTTACAAAATAAGTAAATATGTCTAAAATAACAAACCCTATCTTTAATCTTTTTGGCCTTGTTGCTGTGTTGAGGGAACGTTCCAGTGTTTGTTGCTTTGTTACCTGAGTTATCTGAATGAACGATATTTCATTCAGGTTTATTTTCACCGTTTTTACATCTTTTGCGTGAATTAGGCTACATTAATGAATTACTCTTATTGGCTTTTCGCTCCCATAGCTTTTGTTGCACTTGGCAGTGGTATGGTGAGTATGTTTTGTCGTCAGTTCTGCACCACTGTCTATCTCTCCTCTGTCCGTGGATAAACACCATGCACCATAAATGCACAAGTCTTTCACACTGAGCTGAAATGAAACAAGTGCTCATAATTTTGGTAAAAAGCATAAATAAAAAGTCTCATATTGCCTATAGACAAAGAGAGCGGTGGGAGACTAGGAGATGGCTGTACTCTGCGTGTTTCTGCATAAAAGCTTCATATGTAAAATCACCTGTTTGACAGCTGACATTAAACAAAGGTTCAGATCCTCCATATAACTCAATAAAACCAATCCCAATCAGTGAAAAAATGCCTTGATTGGCCCGATCCCAATCTCTGGGATCGGATCAGGACATCCCAAATTGTGATTTAAATCGTGAGAACACTGAATAAAGCACTTTCATGTTATAAACTGTGTTGTCTTCTACTATGCTTAAGCCTGTTGTAGATGGGCTGCTAGCCCAGAGCTATGTGCCACAGAAAAAAAAATGTTTGGTTGCAAATGTGTTAAAATCCATGTTAGTGAGCACCTCTCCTTTTCCAAGATAATCCATCCACCTGACAGGTGAATCATCACTACACAGGTGTACCTTGGGATGGTCACAATAAAAGGACACTGTGGAAAATGTGCAGTTTGGTCACACAATACAAGGCCTCAAATTTCACAAGTTTTGAGGGAGCATGTCATTGTCATGCTTATTGCAGGAATGTCCACCAGAGCTGCTGCCCGTGAATTTTATGTTAATTTCACGACCATAAGTCGTGTCCAATGTTGTTTCTCTGAATTTGGCAGTACATCCAACTCTGAGGGGTTTTAACAGAATCAGCATTATTGGCTTATGTTGTAGATATACTAGATAATCGAACAGTAATGTACTGTATATTTCATGCTAAAAGTCTAATTGTCTTCCCTCTGACCCTAACTCTTCCATCAAACCTGTCTGTCTCTCAGATCAAACTGCCTGTTCCCACTATGCCTCCGTCAGAATCCTTGTTGAGGACAGACTCGCTGTCCAGCACTGAGCCGGTTCTGTCTGATGGATCTGTGGGCTCGGCACCATCTCTGGGCCTGAGTCCTGGACCCAGTGCCGCCATGGACATCAACAGAAATGAGATGAATCAGACTCAAGACAAGACGATGAAGCATCAACAGAAGGCTATAGAGGTACAGTAAAGAACACATCATGAGGACCTTAAAGTAAAGCTTATGCTAAATGTTCCCCCTTTATCAGTTTCTATCTGATGAATGCTCAACGTGTTTTGGTGAAATCTACAATCTATGTGTCTTTGTGTATCTACATAAGAGTGACATGACACTGTCATTAATATGACATGACACGGTCATGAACCTGTCATGAATATTATGTACATGTGATAAACGTTTATGACTGCTGTCATTAAGTGTCATTCTGTTTTTGTCAGTGATATTTCCAGAAGTTGTCTTTGTCATGACAAGTTGACATTAAATTTGTTTGGGATGTCCTTATATTGACAACTTGACATTAACCAGGATGACACTACTTGTCATAACAACTTGACATTAACAAGAAATGCACCTCTTTTTGTGTCATTAAGATATCATAATGTCATAATGGTGTCATGACATCCAGTTTGTGTCGTATCCTGCCAGACCTCTATCTGACTGAGTGTTAGAATCGGTCTGTAACCTTGCACATCTAATTATGATAATCATTATCTCAACTTGTCATAAACACAAAAAGAGGTGCATTTTTTTGTTAATGTCAAGTTGTTATGACAAAGACATCTTCTGGTATTGTCATCCTGGTTAATGTCAACTTGTCATAATAAGGACATCCCAAACAAATTTAATGTCAACTTGTCATGACAAGGACAACTTCTGGTAATATCACTTTAATTAATGTCAAGTTGTCATAATCAAGACAACCCAAACAATATCAACTTGTCATTACAAAAACCGAATGACACTTAATGACAGCAGTCATAAACGTTTATGACATGTACATAATGTTTATGACAAGTTCATGACAGTGTCATGTCATAGTTATGACAGTGTTATGTCATCCTTATGTAGATACCTTCAAGTAAAGTGTTATCGTATTTTATGTAATAATAATAATAATAATTAAATAGTTCAGTGCTGTAAGGATGGTTTTTGTTTTGTTTTGGTATTTTTTTTGCAGAATTTAACAAGGTAACAATATGTATGAATTGCTGTTCTGTAACAGATTGTCAGTCAAAATTTTTATTGTTATTGTCTTGGACCTTAGATTTCCAACTCAAGACAAACTGATATACAGTTCAGTCACAAGTATTTGAACAGTTAGTGTTAGAACAATGCGGTGGTATAGTGGCCTTTAATATAGTGCAGACAAAGCAACCAAGGAGTTCTTAAAGGCCATTAAATTGTTTTTAACTGGCCAAGTAAAGTGAGATTTTAGCACTCTTATAAGTTTAGTGTAAGCTACACTGTGTGACATGGATCTAATAAACTTGGGAACAACATCAAGTTTGATGTATGCAGACTGTGAGATGACAGCACCTACTGAATGGCAGGCTACAACGTACGATGCAATAGCTTCCCATACTGAGTGTGCAAGGATGCTGCAGAGGTTATTACTTCTCCAACTGTGAAGCACAACTTAGAGGGTCATATAATTAAATAGAGGACTCAAAATGAGCACGCACATCCAAAAATGATAAATGCTGGGTGCTGGACAGAACAACAAATACAATTAAAGCTGAAAGCAGCTATGATGGGGCCCTCGCTCTCCTGCGCCACTGCGGGGGGCCAGCAGCACGCATCACTGAAGCGGTTATGTGAAAACTCAGAGTAAGTTAACCCTGACGTGGTGTGACGTTTCATGTTCCTATACCCAAAAAACCCCTATGGGAAGGGTTTTTTGAAAATTTCAGGGGGGTGCTATAGAGGCATTTTGTCCCCCCCATGGGTGATGCCCCTATCAGATGCAAGAGCTCGTGATTCTTGACCTGTGTATCAATTTTCATGAGTATATGAGGTCGCTGAAGCCATCAAAAAGCCAAACATATTTGGTGGCGAGGGAGGCACCATAGCGGCCACGCCCCTTGACATAGAGAAAAGCTTTTAATAAATTTTGATCAGCATGGTCTCTGGATGATCTGTAAAAAATCTGAAGTCGATTGGATGAAATCCCTAGGACTAGTTCGTTAAAATACAACATGTGGAAATCACGCCAAAATGACAAGTCAAAATCAAAATGGCCAACTTCCTGTTTGGAGTAGACCATTGGTGCCAGAGACTTTTATGTGCGGCTGGCCAACATACACATGTGTACCAATTTTCATGTTCCAACTCCAAAAAAAACCCCTATGGGGAGGGGTTTTTGAAAATTTCAAAGGGGCACTATAGAGGCATTTTGTCCCCCCCCATGGGCGACGCCCCTATCAGATGCAAGAGCTCGCCATTCTTGACCTGTGTGTCAATTTTCATGAGGATATGAGGTCATTGAAGCCATCAAAATGCCAAACGTATTTGGTGGCGAGGGAGGCGCCATAGCGGCCACGCCCCTTGACATAGAGAAAAGCTTTTCCACAATAAAGCGTCATCATCGTCTTATGCCTTTTTTGACCAAGTTTGAGGTGGATCTGGTCAATTGTATAGGAGATGTACATTAAAGTCTAAAACATGACATTTCTCGTTGCCAGTAGGGGGCGCTATGTTTATCTCTAATTATTGACATGTAGATGTGTTCAGGGCGGGACTGTCATCAATCCTGTGAAGTTTGGGCAAGATTGGACCATGTATGCTGGAGTTATAAACTACTTCCTGTTTAGTGGCGAGACCCCTAAATTTGACGACATCCCACGGTCACACGCATCGACGAAAACTCAAGCTTTTGATAACTTTTCATCTTCAAGGTCTTGGGGTGGGACAGACCAAGGTTTGAAGTCGATCAGATGAAATCTCTAGGACTAGTTCGTTCATTTAGGTCCCCTGGAAATGGCTAAAAATGCACCAAAATTGCACAGGAAATTCAAAATGGCCGACTTCCTGTTGGGCTTAGAACATGCCTCCAAGAGGCTTTTTTGTACGTCTCTGAACGTTACATAAGCCTGCCGCGTTTCATACATGTAGGTTAAACTGGCTTCAGGGGCTGTTTCCTCAAACTTTTGTAGGGGGCGCTACTGAGTCATTTTTTGGAACCCACGCACGAGACCCTTAAAATATCAAATTTTTCACCAGTTCTGAGATGTGTGCAAAGTTTCATGCGTTTTCAGGTATGTTAAGCCTCCCAAAAAGGCAATTCATTTGGAGGAAGAATAAGAATAATAATAATTAAAGCTGCAAGCAGCGATGAACGGGCCCTCGCACCTTCACGCAACTCTGGGTGGCTGGCAGGATTTCTTCTGATGTGTCATTTCATTTCTGTTAAAGTTAGACATCGCATGCAGGAGTGACTTTGCATATCTTTGATACAGTGCTGGAATGACATATTTCACATTTTGTATCACTTCCTCTTTCCACTAGAGGGAGTTGGAGAGCGCAGTAATTATACATCATGTTTTTATACATACATACGCATTTTGTCCCCTCCATGGGCGAAGCCCCTATCAGATGTAAGAGCTCTCCATTCTTGACCTGTGTATCAATTTCATGAGGATATTAGGTCGTTAAAGCCATCAAGAAGCCAAACATATTTGTTGGCGGCGTCATAGCGGCTACATTCATAATTATGACTTTTTATCTCACAATTTTGATTAGGAATGGCGATTTTTTTTTTTCATTACTGGCGAAAATGGCCTCCGGTAAAAAACGGTTGGAGCGATCAAACATTTTCCGAACCGTTTCCACAAGCGTGTTGGGATCGAAGTCCAGCACAAATAGCCATTGTTTCATCCTGTCCGTATTTTTGGTTGGTAGCTACTACATGAAACTTCACTCGCTCCATGTCTTTGGCTTGTTACCGCAACCTTTTACAATACATGTGTAAACCATGATTTACAACAACACTCTGTAAACTTTTCTCAAACTTTCTGGTGTGTCCAGCTGACGATACCGCAAATTCAAGGCTGCAAGCAATAACTATGGCACTGTCTCAGGTACGCACTGTGTCACTCTGCCCAGTGGTTTACTCAAGAAAGTAGTGCCGAGTATTTGCTTCATGTTTCGTAATGTTACTTAATTATACATTATTATTTCATAGCGTGGGGAATGCGCAAGCCATGTGTTTTCCACTAGAGCATTTTGGAGTCATTTGATGGTGTATTTGATTAGTTTTGAGGGAGAGAGGGGGCTTTACCATTCACCTCCATTTTGTGCGCTGAGCAGTAGGCAGCTCTGTCCCACCGATCTCAACAGCAGGAACTGACAATTAAAGGGAATGTACCTACTCATGACTATAGGGATTATGGCAATAGGCGAATTTGCCAAAATGTCAAACTATCCCTTTATATGTAACATCACTTTCTTTTCATATTAGCCTTTGAGAAAGTCATTAAATGTTCAATGTTTTTAATAATTGGGTGAAAATTAAATTTAAAAACAGACCCATGATTGCTCCTCAATTTGGTTTTATTCATATTCCACATATTAAACAAAGTAAAAGTTTACTCAGTCGCTATTTCAGCTTGAGTAGCTTTTACCACCAACAGATGCTGATTACCACACGACTAGTCTCCTAACATCCTGCTGAATAGATGAACATGTGGAAAAAAGCACAGGTGGTGGTCATTTCCACCTCCACCTCCACCACGTCAAACAAAAGGCAGAGAAACTGGTCCTGAGTCAGGTCACTGGATGACCAGAGCCTCAGGTCATCACTCACCCCCAGGTCCCCAGAGCCTACATTAGAGGCTATTAATGTTACCCTTAATGTTGCAGAAAATTAGAAAGACAGACATGGAAAGGGAGTTGTTGACGAAACTAAAAAAATAAATGACTACTGATTGTTGTTTTTGTATCTGCAGAGTTCGTTAAATTACAAGGTGTGGAAATCACAAAATCGTCGCCAAAATGAAAAGTTTGAATCAAAATGGCCGACTTCCTGTTTGAAGTAGAGCATTGGCGACAGAGAATTTTTTGTGTGTCTGGGCAACTGTACACATTTTCACCTTCCGACTCCAAAAAACCCCCTATGGGGAGGGTTTTTTGAAAATTTCAAGGGCGCTATGGAGGCATTTTGTGCCCCGCATGGGCGACGCCCC